AGCTCGTAGATGATGATAAATAACATAGTTATGTATAATATATTACATTTCTGACTGTATATCCCTGTAATTATTACACACTGTAGCTTTAAGTTCGAGGTTTTATAAAATGGACCAAAAACAAAGCCTTGTTTTAGCTTAGAAATCATGCAAACTCAACCGGCGGAACAAGCGAAACGGCTTCAAACTTAGAAACAAAATCCACTTTTTGAAATGACTATGACCTGGATGACTGAGAATCTTCACCAGCATATTTATATACTCTGCGCCTCAATAGGTAAACATGAAGTTACAATTTTATTTTATTTTTAAGGTGAAATAATCGCCAGCTGATTCCTTTCCATATCAAATTGTTTCAGAAAGATGTTCTCAGTTATAGTGACATTCATGTCAGGCAGGCCTAGTTTCCTTTAGAGACAGTTTTAAACCCCTGCGCTGCTCGTTTCTCTTTAGTCATTGTGCTGCAGGAACCACAGACCGCTAATCTGTCATCAGATGATGGAGCCCTTCTGTGATTGGTTGAAAATAACCCACAATAATAATAACAGATCACTTCAATTTTTATGGTCAGACTCTGTAAATATCTGTTGATGTTAATGATTGTTGCCTGTTTTTATTGCCGTATGTTGTTACCCAGTGATGCAGTCTGTTTCCTTTGTGCTTTTTCTCTCCTTTCCTTCTGCTGTTTGAACCTTTTTGAACTTTTCACCACTGCCATCTTAGAGGAGAGCAGTGCTAAGCAGACTTTATGCCTCGATGAGTAAGTTACTACATGAGAGTTATTGACACTGTAGTGTGTAGTCCTGCTAGTGTTATTAGAGTCTAGGAAGATGATTGAGCTGAGTAGTGTTGTGTTTTCAGCCTAATCATAATAAATAGAGCTGAGTCCTCCACCGACAGATCTGACTGAAACAGAAGGAAAAGCCTGGTCCTCATTTATCAACTGAACACAAAGCAAAACAAAATCTGCTGTCATTTTGACACCAGCTTTGGATGCATCTGTTTGGATCGAAGAAAACGATTCACTTTGATCCAACTGGCCTCAGATCAGTGAAGAACAATAAACATCAGAGGATGATCAGAGGAAATGGCAAAATAAAACCCAGAACATGCATCAGGAGCCGTCGCATCATTTACTTGTGTCTGTTTTTCACGATTTCTGCGGGGGAGGTAGCTATGAATAAATATTTATTAACCGCTGACCATTGGAGCGCCTGGGGGCCGGCCGCCGTCCACGCGGTTTCATGAATCATGTGGAGCTGCACCAAAAGCTACGGCGCACTGCAAAAGCTGATCTACAAATAAAACAAAATTTGTTTAAATGAGTGAATTTGTCCTTAATTTGAGCAAATACAATACCAATCATTTTGCCAATGGAAAAAGACAATTTAAATTTAAAATAAGAAAAAAGAATTTCATAGTCTTATTTCAAGTGTATATTATCTAATTACCTTATTTTAAGAGTAAAACTCTTCATTCCATTTGCAAATCATCTTATTTACCTTCTCAAATTAAGGATAAATACACTTAATTTCAGACATTTTGACTTATTTCTAGATTGTTTTTGCAGCGACAAACAGTCTACCAATGGAAGGATTATTTTCCCTTAAAATCATTGGATATACACTTTAAATAATAAGACTGTTCTTTTTATCTTATTTTATACATAAATTATCTTTAGAAAAAATGATTTACTTATATTTGAATATTTGCATTGCAGTTTCTGCTAATCAGCCTCAGTGACTTTACAGTATGATGTTCATACTGAATTTATTTTTCACTGCTAAAACTGATCTGAAAATAAATAATTAAAATAACATTTGCCTTTAAATTGGGCAGGTAAATAGAATGAGCTACTGATAGAATGATTATCCTCGCCCTAAAAATAAGATATTATGCACTTGAATTAAAATAAGTTATTTTTTTCTTATTTTGAACATGAATCATGTTAGTCTGTTGGACAATTGCTTTTCTTAGCTGCTTAAATCGAGGGATAACTCCCTTTTTGAAGAAAAATGACTTATTTTTCACTTTTTGCAGTGTTCTTCTATAATTCATTGATTTTAGTGATTAAGTGTAAATTCAGGGTTTCTGCGGGTCATTAAAAATCATTAAAAGTCATTAAATTATTATTTTTTAAATGAAGGCCTTAATTGGCGTTAAAATTCATTAAATGTGTTAATTGTGGCATTTAAAATGCTTTATTTAAAAAAAATGTTTATAAAAACAATTTCTTCAGACATATTATATCATGATATATTTGCTTGGAACTGCTTCCGGTTGATCTCAAAGCTGTATGTTCAGAAAAGAAGCTTGAGTCGGAGAAAAAGCTAGAGAGTTGGAGGGAAAAAAGCTAATTTCAACAAAAAAAGCTGGAAAACGAAGGATTCGGGACATGGCTGCAGCCTGTCAACGGGTGCCTGTTGGTGGCATTAAAATAATTTCTAAGAACATTAAAAGAACATTAAAAAGCATTAAGTTAGAGTTATTCATTCCTGTATAAACCCAGAAATTAGTTTGAATCCAGGCAGAAACAAAGGAGAAATGTCAGACTGTTTGTGATCATCCAACACTTTAAATTCAGTTCATATAGAATCATTTCTGGCCTCCTGTACTATTTCTAACTTCCCATTCTGCTTCTTTGTCTTTCCCTCCCAGGATCTCTAAAATTCATTAGATATTCCAGATAGTTTCATTTGTTTTTCACAGTAATGTCCTTCACATTGGAAAAAATCAAAATCTAGATAGGTCATTTCTTTCTTAAAATAAGTGCATTTGTTCTTGAATTAAAGAGGTAAAAGAGACATTTTGCCAATGGAACAAGACAATGTACATTTAATATAAGAAAAAACAAATGCATTGTCTTATTTAAGTGCATTTTATCTAAATATCTTATTTTAAGAGTAAAAATAATCATTCCATTAGCAAACTGTCTCATTAACCAACCAAAATAAAGGGAAAAAAAATTAAATTAAAAAATTTTTTTCTAGAATCTTGCTTAAAGCCGTGCTGATTGTGTCCCTCCCCCCCCACACTTTCTGCTGCAGGGAGCTTCCTTCAGAAGAGTGCCAAGCTCTTTTTCCGGCGGCGCCACCAGCGCAAGGAGCCGGGGATGAGCCAGTCGCACAACGACCTGGTGTACCTGGAGTCTCCTGCGTCGGTGGAGCGGGCCAGCAGGACCGCCACGCTCAGCCGCATGCTCATCCGCAAGAGTAAGAGCTATAAACACAAGAGTAAAGCTAATGGCTCTACTCCTGCAGCGGATCCGCATGTGTGACCCCCCCCTCGCCGCCGCTGCTGGTCCATCACAACCTCCCGTCATCACCTCCATGTTAAAGATGCACTGGCAAACAGTTAGGCTAACCTGCTTCCCCCCAGCACTGTGAACAGCGGGGCTAACAGCCTTCCTTCTAGCATTCTATAGACTGCATGTGTGTTTACATGTGAACAGAGGTGTACTGGTTGATGGCTTTATAATATTTAGCATGTTACCTTTAATCAATTTATTTTTTACCACAATCGGGAATCTTAAGTGCTTTTATCGCCCCGGTTACGGACGGATGGGACTGATGCGGGCCGTCTTCCTTTACCTCACCGACGCTGAGGGTCGAACAGAAAACTCTTCCCTGCTGCGATCCGTACATTTCCTACGGCGGATGGGCAGAACCAAAGATGAGGAGCGGAGTGCTGTTTGTATGATTTGCACAAGTCCAGTAGTGAGTTTTCATTGTGCGATGAGAGGAGCCACTTCTGCACTCCTTCCTGTTTGAACTAAAGGGAGACCATCATCATTAGACTACTATTTTAACACTAATGTTACAGAATGATGGTTTGAAAATGGATTACATTTATACTAAATACTTGATAAAAGTTTTTAATATTCGTTTGCAATGTATGCAAAAATCTTTAACTCTCTTTTAACTTATTTAGCCATGAATTGAATAGAAATCGGTTTCAGTTCACATGTTGATAATGTAGAGTAGAATATGGGTTGAATATCAATTTGTAACCTGAACATGTTTTACAAGGGAGACATCTATAGAGTGAATTTTGATCCATTATTGTTGCAAACAGATAAAATGTTTAGTGAATCAGGAAATTAAAGTGAAAAATGTGTATTAATGTTTTGAATGAAGTTTTATCAAATTCTATTTGTACGCAGTTTTTTTTTCTAAATTTATTTTCTCTAGATTTTATATTTTCAACTTTTTTCTATGTTTTTCAGATTGAGTTTTATGAATAACATTTTTATCCACTTGTCTTTCACAGGTCACATTACTTTTACTTCAAGCCAAATACAAACATTCATTTACAGGATAGCGTTGATCTAAAGAAAAATGCAGTTCGTAAAACTCAACCTGAAAAAGAGTAATATAAAAAATTGATGTATAAAATTTCGATAAATTTATATATTAAAAATCTAAAAAAAAATGTTAAAATGTAAAAAAATAACATGGACATTTTTTTATCAAATATGAGGAAATATCTTTTACCTTTCTTTTTTTGTATATTTTTTTAACATTTGTGGATTGCATTTTTTTCTGACAAATTTCCATGTACAGAACTTGTTCTTTGTTTGCAAGAATAACGGAACAGAATTCACTCCGTAGCCCTGAAGACCCTGAGAACCTTCCAAAAACTGTTTCAGATGAATTCTAGGTTGTTTATTCTATGTCGTACCATTAGCTTCTAAAACAGCTCAGCCTCTCTACACAGAAGCAGCAGCAAGGATTCAACTGTCTGTAATAATTTCTGTTTAGTCTTCCTATTAAGAGAGTCCTCTTATGCACTACTGCTGTCAGTAGGGATGTTATTCTGTCCAAAGGGAACTCGTATGCTGCCTCTACCTGCCAAAATGTCCCAGTAATGAACTCTGCTCCCATTTCCTGAACCCTGCTTTTGCATTTATTTGTTTGTTATTTTCAAAAGGTTTTGTTTTAGAACAAAAAGTATGCACATGTTTTTTTGGTTTTGTTTTCTGGGAGCAAACCAAATAGCCTGGCTGTTCTGTTGAAATCCAGCTAATGATTGTATTTTTCTTTAGTGAGCAGCTTGTTTGGATCCATCAAACTTCAAACTATAGATGCAGAACAGTGACAGAGATAACGCATCGCCTTATAGTTCCTCCTAACTTGACTTCGGCTGATTTAGCCTTGTTTCCCCGACTTCCTCATGAGTCAAGACTAAAAGGACTGTGATGACTTGTTTGGTTATGCCTCAGAGACAGCCATGCCACCTCCTGCGCCATCCGCTGGAATCAAGAAGCCTATGCACTTATCCGTTTCTGGTGTTTAACTTGATCAGAAGATGATGAACTTTCATGCCAACGCTCGTCTGCAGAGGTTGCAGGCTTCCCTGCATCTCGGTACAAACATTGCAGCATCATGTTCTATGAAGACAACTTTATGCTTCTTAAAAACTAATCAGGACGGGGAAGAGATCCAGGGAAAAAGAAAAAATACTCATCCCTGAGAGACCTAACTGTTGTCCATCCACTAAGCATTAGGGCTAAAGGTGTATAATGTAAGGCTTAACTTTGTTTTTCTCTATTGTTTTGAATTGTTTCTGCTCTGTGCACATAAACTGGCTGAATGAAGTGCTGCTGCAGAGTGCCAGCCGTTTCCCTGCAGGGATTGGAAACAAAATCCAGTGGAGTTATTTAATTTCCAGCAATAAATACTGAGTGACTACATCAGACGGATTAAATGCTGTGCATGTTTGAAAATTAACATTTCAAGCCAATAGTGTTATTGGAATCCAGGACAAGACCTTAATACCTTTGGAACATAAAAAAAAAATTGATATTTTGAAGGCAAAAATGAATGTCAATGTAATAACAAGAAACCGCAACTTGCCCAAATATATTAAGTAAAATTACTGAAGTGCTTCTATAAGAAATTCATGAAAAACACGCAGAGAGAAAGAAACACTTTTTTGTTGATACAACATAACCTTAGAGGCATTAATACTGATACTGGCACTTGCATTTTATAGTTTATAAACTTAAATATAATTGTTATCTAGGCTTATTAACTTTAACTTTCCAATTACCTTTTTATCTTTTTTACTTAACTTAACTTTTTTTTTTTCAACTTAATTTATAGTCGATAAAATATCATTCAAGTGCTCATCTCATTGGTCAAATGCCAAAATAAGATGTTTATTTTACCTAAAATATACATGTAAACATGTAGATACAGCTACATGGCAAAGTAGCCATGTAGCAGCATCTTTGCTGAATGGCTGGATATAGATCTTGTGCTTCTAGACCTCACTGAGGGGACGGGGGGACTCCATTTATGCAAGGTATCAAAAACTGAGTGAAATACTTGAAAATCAATACTTGAATCCAGGACAAGACATTACTACCTTTGGAACATCCAAAAAAGATGTATATGTTGAAGGCAAAAATGAATGTCAATGTAATAAGAAACACCAACTTACCCAAATATATTAAGAAAAACAAAAGTGTTTCTATAAGACATTCATGAAAAACTCAGAGAGTGAAAGAAACACTTTTTTATTTGGTACAACATAACCTTAGAGGTACTGATACTGGTACTGACATTGTTTAGTTTATAAATCTGAATATAAAGTTAACTAGGCTTATTAACTTTACTTTATAACTTTTCAATTTATTTTTTTTAACCTTTTTTCTTAACTTTTTTAACTTAATTTACAGTAGGTAATATACACTCACCGGCCACTTTATTAGGTACCCCATGCTAGTAACGGGTTGGACCCCCTTTTGCCTTCAGAACTGCCTCAATTCTTCGTGGCATAGATTCAACAAGGTGCTGGAAGCATTCCTCAGGGAGTTTGGTCCATATTGACATGATGGCATCACACAGTTGCCGCAGATTTGTCGGCTGCACATCCATGATGCGAATCTCCCGTTCCACCACATCCCAAAGATGCTCTATTGGATTGAGATCTGGTGACTGTGGAGCCCATTTGAGTACAGTGGACTCATTGTCATGTTCAAGAAACCAGTCTGAGATGATTCCAGCTTTATGACATGGCGCATTATCCTGCTGAAAGTAGCCATCAGAAGTTGGGTACATTGTGGTCATAAAGGGATGGACATGGTCAGCAACAATACTCAGGTAGGCTGTGGCGTTGCAACGATGCTCAATTGGTACCAAGGGGCCCAAAGAGTGCCAAGAAAATATTCCCCACACCATGACACCACCACCACCAGCCTGAACCGTTTATACAAGGCAGGATGGATCCATGCTTTCATGTTGTAGACGCCAAATTCTGACCCTACCATCCGAATGTCGCAGCAGAAATCGAGACTCATCAGACCAGGCAACGTTTTTCCAATCTTCTATTGTCCAATTTCGATGAGCTTGTGCAAATTGTAGCCTCAGTTTCCTGTTCTTAGCTGAAAGGAGTGGCACCCGGTGTGGTCTTCTGCTGCTGTAGCCCATCTGCCTCAAAGTTCGACGTACTGTGCGTTCAGAGATGCTCTTCTGCCCACCTTGGTTGTAACGGGTGGTTATTTGAGTCACTGTTGCCCTTCTATCAGCTCGAACCAGTCTGGCCATTCTCCTCTGGCATCAACAAGGCATTTCTTCCCACAGAACTGCCGCTCACTAGATGTTTTTTCTTTTTCGGACCATTCCTTGTAAACCCTAGAGATGGTTGTGCGTGAAAATCCCAGTAGATCAGCAGTTTCTGAAATACTCAGACCAGCCCTTCTGGCACCAACAATCATGCCCCATTCAAAGTCACTCAAATCACCTTTCTTTCCCATACTGATGCTCGGTTTGAACTGCAGGAGATTGTCTTGACCATGTCTACATGCCTAAATGCACTGAGTTGCCGCCATGTGATTGGCTGCTTAGAAATTAAGTGTTAACGAGCAGTTGGACAGGTGTACCTAATAAAGTGGCCGGTGAGTGTATAATTTAAGGATTCATCTAATTGGTCAAATGCCAAAATAAGATGTACAGCCATGTAGCAGCATCTTTGCTGAATGGCTGGATAAAGATCTTGTGCTTCTAGATCTCACTGAGGGACGGGGGGGACTCCATTTGTAAGAGGTAGGCAAGAGATCAAAAATGGTAACTCTTGCCACATTAGGGGTTAAACAGACAGACGTTAAGAGTTAGGAACCACTCGTCAACTTGAACCACTGCTGTGGGCTGTTACAGGTCGTTTAGCAAACTCAGCATATGGCCTCTTATAAAAAGGTTTTTATCCCTTCAGCTTTTTTAAGTTAGGCTGAAATTACAGCATTTAATGGGTTTGTTCAGCTTTATGTTATTGACCAGGAAGAGTTAAAAGGGTGCAATTGTTGAAGGAAATGTACACATATATAAATATTTAATTTAAATCAAACCAAAATGTGAATTAATTTCTTTAATATGAAGTTCATACTGTTTAACATCTAATCAGATGGATTGTTTTAGTTTTCTACTTTTAATGTTTTGGATTATTTATTTTTAACACTAACATATTTTGCATTTAGAATTTTGGGGAAAGAGATTTTTATAGCATTTTTAAAAAAAGGCTGTATCATAACTCAACATGGGGAAAAGGGGCATCTCTCCGTATCCACGGTAACCCTTCCATCCATATTCTAAGCAGCCTCTGAAAGGTTTTGTTCCATAATGGTCATGACTTTTTTCCATCTAAAGCTGTTTTCATCCAATCGGTCTGCTGAGGTAAAGCCAGCATACAGCATGATGCTGCCACCACCAGGTTTTCCCCTGGGGCTGCTGTTTTCAGGGTGAGTGGATGGGGTAGGATAAGTGAATAAAAACACAAGTGTAGATGTCTGAATTAGTAAAGTTAATCCTGTAAATTTTAAGATTTGTATTTGTTTCTTGTTTCCATCTCCTAATCAGACGCTTCAACTGTGAGAATGCAAGTTTAGAAGTTAGAAATAGCTTTGAAACATCAAATCAGACAGTTATGGGTATGAATCAAAAACTGGATAAGAATGAATTACAAATTTGAGTAGTAATCACAAGTCTTGGTTACAAATTAACGAGGAAAAATCACTGATTTATAAACAAATTATAAAGAACCACAAATTTACGAGTTAGAATTACAAATTTAAAAGAACGAATCAGCCATTTACAAGTATGAATCTGAACTATACGAATACAGTTCAGGTTTTTATGAGTTCAAATTAATGTTGACAAGGCATAAAAACAAATCATACATTTCATCAAGTATATTGATGTAGACACTAGTGTTGCTCCGAATTAGAGAGCCAAAAGTTTCTTCAACTATTATCACCTATTCCAGGAAGGCAATAAAAAGTTCTACTGGATTCACTTTGTATTAGTCTATTTCCTGCTTCATAAAGGTAGGCAGCACCTCGAAAAAGCCATGATGGCAATTATTTTACATCCAAGTAGTATGCAGTTCTTCATATATACGCATATCAGTTTCACACAGATGGTATCGGTATGGGCCGATACAGCAGAGCCAGGTATCCAGGTATTGGTATCGGGGCCAAAAAATGGCATCAGCGCAACACTAGTTGACACCCATGTTTAAGTTTTTTACAGACAGTTATCTAACCCCATAGTTGTACAGTTAAATGATTTTGGTCTCAGCAGATAAACTACTTCTACATTTTTTCCTGTGTGGCCTGCATTCAGGAAACTTGTGGCCTTCTTCCAGCAGTGGCTTCCTCCTTACTGCCCCTCCATAAAGCTCAGATCTGGACCCTTTTTAACTATTGCTCTTCCTGTTCAGATCCTCCCTGGATTCCTGCAGCTTCTCCAGAGTTACTATGGGTCTATGGGTTACATGTTATAATGCCTCTAATTTCAGATGATGGGTGTAACAGCTCTTCTTTAGACGTTCAAAGTTTTCATTAGTCTTCTTTAAACTTCTACATATTTCTCCTTGAGCCACCTAATGGGTTCCTTGGTCTTAATTATGGTTTTATTTTGCTTACTAGGCACAAACTTATATTGGTACTGTGTAAACAGACACATTTTAATCAATGTTTGATAAATTAAATATACCAATAGTGTCCCAGGGATCTGTAGAAGCCAATAGAAGCTTATTATAACCACACTCTTAGATAAGATAACAAAGAGGAACGTTACAACATCACAATCGGAAACGTATCAGTGGCAATCATAATCGGGTAACAAATACACATATGTTGTTTTTGTTTACAAAAAAAAAACTCTTTCTTGATCTTGATTTTTTAAAGGACTCACATTATTGTGTAGAAAACCTCTCATAATGTTCACTGAAACTTCATTAAAGAATATTTTTGAAATAAGTGTTTAAATATGCAAAATAAAGCTACAGTTTCAGCAGTAGGGGTATCTGTAAAAGGCACTTTAAAGTGTTACATAGTGGGGGTGAATAACTGAAAGGAACTTGTGAATAAAAGTATTTAGGACTAAACTAAATAAATATTTTTTAATAGTAAAGAAATAAAACTAATTTCTTTAAAAGTGATTGTATTGAGGCTCTTATCTTGTGTTTTCCCCATTATTATAGTTTGTTTGATCAACAGTCTCTTTACACTGGGGAAAAAAAAATCTAAATAAGTAATTTTTTCTTAAAATAAGTGCATTTGTTCTTGGATTGAGGAGGTAAGGGAGACATTTTGCAAATGGAACAAGACAATTTAAATTTAAAATAAGAAAACAAAATTGCATTGTCTTATTTCGAGTGTGTTTTATCTAATTATCTTATTTTAAGAGTAAAAATACTAATTTCATTAATAAACTATCTCACTTACCTACTCAAATTAAGCGTAAATACACATAATTTAAGAAATATTTACTTCTAGATCTTTTTTCCAGTACACTGGAAACAATCAAAATCTAGATAAGTTATTTTTTCTTAAAATAAGTGAATTTGTTCTTGGATTGAGGAGATAAAAGTGGCATTTTGCCATTAGAACGAGTCAATTTACATTTAAAATAAGAAAAAAAACAATTACATTGTCTTATTTCAAGTGCATTTTATGTTATTATATAATTTTAAGAGTAAAAATACTCATTCTATTGGCAAACTATCTCATTTACCGACTCAAATTAAGGGTAAATACACTTAATTTGAGAATTTTTTTTCCAGTGCACAGCCTACATCTCCCATAATTCCTTGCGCGCTGGTCGCTTCCGGTCCTGCGCCGTTTCTGGAGCGGATTGGAACCCGGAGTCAGGACTCGGTAAATGAAGGCTGTTTTGCAGAAAAGGTAACGTGTTTCCTCGCTAATGCCGCCCGCTCGGCCTCCAAACGCCGGCGCGGTCCGGTAGTGAAGCTGCAGCCGGTCGCTCCGGCCGCCTCGGAGCTTCTCTGCGCCGCTCGCTCCGCTCCCAGTCCGGCGCTGAGAAGCACAGACTCCGGTTTGGGGGTTTGCGTCTCCGATCCAGCCGCCATGCCAACTGTTCTTTGTTACATTGTAGAGAAGAGAAGCCGCTCAGATCGGAGTTAAAACCCGGCTAGAGTTTAGGAATCACTCAAATCCTGGATCCTAATTCCAACACGGATCCCCAGGTAGAAAAATTCAGGATCAGAGATATTTAAATTATAAGAATAAAGGAGTGAAACACACTTTATCTACCAGGTGTGTTCAGGTACAACTGAAACATCAAATGCTGCTTAGGATCTGCAGTTATTTAAACACTCCTACAACTAGTTGATCTGTAAATTACAATATGATCCGTTAGTTTGCAGGTAAATCCCCAATAAAATAAATAAACCCATTTCCTCTGTGCAGGTTGGAATAATGGCTGAGCAGACCCCAGATGAGTTCATCTGTGAGTATGAATCCATCCCTCCCTCTGTGGTGTCTGACAGGCTGATGGTGACAGATGTGATCCTTCCACAGGGTGTGAGGACTGTGCCCAGTACCATGACTCTGAGTGCCCTGAGCTGGGGCCCCTGGTCACCGTCCAGGACTCCTTCGTCCTCAGCCGGGCTCGGTGAGTTGGCAGCTGGGACAGAGCTGGTTTTAAACAAGCTTTCCACTGGAAAAAACACACTTTCTTCAAGGCGTTAAGAATATACAGCACTAACTAATTGCATTTAAAAGAGAAAAAAAGTGCATTTATCCCAAATTATCTTAAAAATCATTTTTAAAAAAGCAGTAAAACGATTTTGTCTCCTTATAGATTTTTTGCATTTCCAGAAACATTTTTTGGTTTAGCACTGAAATGTTTCAAATTATGATCACAGTTATCATTGAAAAAAAGAATCAATCAAAGTCATAATTAAATGTCAAATCATTCTGGCTTAAACATGTATATAACTTTATATATCAAAGACCATCTGTCAATCACATTTTTTCGGTCATAGCATCTTGATTCATATGTCGCACCTAATATAAGCAACAGTTAAAATAAGAAATAAGAATAATTTCCTTTCCCATTGAGTTCCGTCCCAGTGTTCATGGGGATGGACGTCTGTGTCTTCAGCAGGCGTAGAGCTAACAGAACTGGCAGCGTTGTGAGGCAAGGGCTCAAACATGTACGGCTGGAAGCCTTCTACACCAAACCAAGCTTCTGCCGCCATGGCATCCTCGTCCACAACAAC